CTTTTGAACCGTCTGGTTCCAGCGGCCGGACGGGCTAAAAGCCGTCCGGTTTCGCCGGTCGAACAGTTTTTTCTTTTTTACTTATAATTTAATTATAATAATACTTGTAATTTAATTATAATGAAAAATTATAAATTATAATTTAAAATTATAATTATTTTAAATTAAAACAAAAAAATAATATATTAATAAAAAAATTATATTAATTAATTTATTTGAAAAAAAATTAATATAATTTAAAACAAAAAAATGTTATATTAATAAATAAAAAGTATATTAATAAATTTATTGGATAAAAAATATTTTTAATTGTCAAAAGAATAATAATTACTAAATATTATTAAATTAATTAATCACTATTTAAATGGGTAAAAAATTTCACTTATTAATAATAATTAATTTTACTTAAAAAAGTTAAATAAGAGATATATTAAAAAATATATATATTAATAATTAGTTGTATTAAAAAAATTATTTATATATTTATTAAAAGATATATATATTTATATAAATATAGTTAAAGAATATATTAAAAAATATATATGTAATTTGTTAGCAAAAAAATATTTACTAATTATTATTTTATATTTTTTATTCAGGGTGTTAGTAGACCTAGACAATCTGCCAGGGATGACGACGACGAGGTTAATGAATATTATCAAGGTTCTGGCCCCCGATACATTAGAAGTCGGGGTGTAGATGCGTCCGTTCGTCGGGAGAGGGACAGACAGAGGATGCTCCTCAACTACAATATAATTTTGTAACTTAGAGGGATTATACAATTAATTAGTTATGAAAGTATTTGGATTATTTTTATTAAAAGTATTTGGATTATTTTTATTATTGTTTTAATCAATTAGTAGTGATATTAAATAATAAATTTGTTTAAAATTGTCATTGTACTTTATTGATGTAAAATGTAACGTTTCTAAATGAGTTTTTTTTTTTATTGCAAAACATTAAGTTGAATGATATGTAACACGAATTAAAAATGAAAAAAAAATTATCATTGATGCGATTTTTGATTGCAGAGACAGGCTCGTTCGTGTTACAGAGCAATCGAAAATCGCATCAATGGTACTTTTTTTTCATTTCTAAGTTGAATGGTTTTTTTTGTTTTGCTAAACTTCAGTTGAATGAGTTTTTTTTTTTATTCTAACGTCCAATGTATAACAAATTATTTTGAATATATAACATAATAATTTATAATAATATTATTTTATAAAAAAAAACATGGTGTCCGGTCGGTCTGACCGGTCGGACCGGTCACGACCGGCCGTCGGGGCCGGACGCCATTTGGGTCGTCCGGTTTCGGCGGCCGGACAAATATATATATATATATATATATATATATATATATTTTTTTTTTACTTTTTGAAAAAAAATGGCAGGGGCAAAAATGTCTAAGAGGGCGGTAAATAGTAATAGGGAACGGTGAATAGTAATCCCAAAATTATTGACGTAGATGATGTTATATAAAATTGATTGAACTAAGATGCCTTGCCCTTATAAACTATAATAGACCAAATAAAATGCAAATCACGCTCGTTTGTATCCTTATGATTGGCAATTTCATGGCTACCAAAACCAAACCATAGACGAAATTCATGTTTTGAAGAAAATTAAGGTTACGAATGGAAAAACCCATCCTCTATGGTGAGCAAAATCGAGATGAAAGCAAAAGATTGAATCGAATTGTTTATTCAGTATGGCATCGGTTCGATAATTTCAATGTAGAAAATTTCCAGTTATGTTTCATTTTAATTTGTTTTTATGTGATATAATGTTGTTCGATTATTTTTGCAAGTTCGGTTTTAGTTTTTTCCAATGGTGCGTTGTTTCACAAAATGAGCCAAAATGTATAGAAAAATTAAAAAACCAAGCTGAATTATGCAATTTGATGCAGTTTGATTTATTTATTTATACTAGGAAGATTTTTTATTCCATGTTTTTTTTTTTTTTCGTTGCGGTTTTGCACAATGCAGTTGCTTATCCCGCCATTTTGTTTCAACCTCAAGATAGATTTTTTTGTATTAAAGAATAATGTTACTATCTAGAATGCAAAAGTTTGTATATGGTGAAATAATCCAAGAGAAGAAAAGAAAGCAATGGGTTCCACATATGGGATTCTATTGTTGATAATTTGGTTCATGCAGTCATTGATGAAAAATTAATGATCAATAACTTGCAAAATCTTGTTTACTTCACATTTATTAGCCATCAAATAAATCTTGTTCATGCAGTTGAATTATATTAAATAAATTGATTACAAGTAATTTCAGGTGACATCAAATATTAGCCATTTTAAGAAAAATACAGCTAACAGGTCAGAAATTAAGTTTAAACAATTTGATTCTATGATTGTAATCAATTCATTTAATATAATAGTTCAATGACTTGTAATCAATTTATTTAATATAATTCAATGACTTCTTGTATTTCGACTGTCGGTTTTGCTATGAAGCCACCAATTGACTCCATAGTGGAGCCAACCTTCTATATACAACAAATAAATCTACCATATAAATAAAATTATATTAGTGTTATTTAAGTAATTAAAGAATATAGTAGGTTTACTTGTTGTATATAGAAGGTTGATTCCACTATGGAGCTAACTGTTGGCTTCATAGTGGAGCCAACTGTTGTCTCCACTATGAAGCTAACTGTATTGTTCTTACGGTGAGTTTGTCACATAATCTCAGCACATTATGAAATTATATATAGAGGTGATAGACTTCACATGAGATTATATTGTAAGGAGACGTTTATTAATTTAATAAGTATCAATGATTTATTTAAATGATAAGTAGTAAGTGTATAAACCTATGAAGAAATTTAATATTATAGGATAAGAAAGGGGATATTTTAGTGGACACAATAGGTGGCCCTAATTCAATATAGCCACATATTTTTCAGCTAAATGCAAATATCTTCTTATGGGGTTTACACTTACATCGATGTATACATATAAGATTTATCATTGATGTTGTACAACAATGCTATAATAGCCAGTGTTGTTTCTCATATACTAAATTTAATCCTGTACACATGCACAGAAATTTAAATTATTATAACTTATAACTTACGTTTATATGTATAATTGTAAAACTATAAGTTAAATAATAGCATCATATTTTAAAAATTTTGTCGTTAGTAAAAATGAACATTATAAAAGTATTCAAATTCATCACTATATCTATTATATAAAATAAAATGGATAATTATTTTTAATTAAATTCAACCAATATAGTGTACAATCTTGCATGAAAAAAACAAATTTGAATGAGCTGGTGTAAAGATCTCTATTACAAAAGATGACTTTCCTTATATATATTTTGCGTTGTATCTATAACATATCAATACTTGATATTTCTTTTGCATGTGAATAGTCAACATACAAATTAAATATATATATATATATATATATATATATATATATATTTAATCATTCAAATTTAAGGGTTTACATAGTATCTCGTAACCATGCATCAGTTACATTCTCCAAATATAGAGAAATAAAAAATGATAATCGCATCCAAGCATTACAAATCCAAAATAGTAAAATATAGGTGGATGATTGTATGGAATAAATTAAAAGGAAAAAAATATGTTGTAACGTTTTTGATGAAGGTCATAAAACTTTTTATTAAATACAACCTATTTTTATTAAACGAACTCATATTATTATTAATTGAAGGATGAATAAAATTAAATGAAGCTTGTCAATAATTATAAATATATATATATAGATATGAAGATAGCTCCCCACATGACAATTAATTGGCAGACTTACAATAGAATTAGAATAATTGACTAACAACATATCCAATACTAAACAATTATCTATAAATAATTTGTTAACAACATATCAATATGTGTGTCAATATATCATTTGGTAATTACATATATATTGTAATTGATTGGAAGCGTAAAAAACACGAAACAGACCATGAATTAAATTTCACTTGCACATTACAATGAATTTTCTATAAAATCATATAGTTCTATATTATGTATCCCACCGAATTTAAAAACTAAAAAGAGTAGTGTGTGCCCATATGTGTGTGATTTGTGAACACCAAATATTAGGTACTCTCTTTGATCAGATGAGCATGGCACAAATCAAATATCTATTGCTCTGCACAAGAAAACTGAAAATGAAAATTTATAACCACAACAAACTTTTAGACCACTGTTGAGAAACTAATGACTGATTTATTTTTTTTCCTATAAAATGCCATATTATTGTTTATGTTAATTTTTATGATATGCGGTTTATGTTTGAAAATATGTGGAGAAGTACGATTATTTAATTATTTGTTAGATTTACCTAAAAGCAGCCTTGTTCAATTTCCTAGAGATGAGCAATTTCTAGTTATAATGGGTGGAGCCATGGATTTCACGTTCCAATATACTCAACAAATTGACCAAAAATCACATGGTCGGACCACAATGTTATTATACACTTGGCTTGAATCCACTCAAAATAAGTCGTGTGTTTTTGAAATCTCATTTAATATGTAGGGGACAAGATTGTAAAATGATGTTTTATCTTTTATTCTAAGTAACAAGTAACTATGTAGGTCTGAAAACCAGAGTTAATTAAGTTATACTACAAAATTATTGTAATAGTTTTTCATGCAGTAATTTATATCAATATTTATCTATAGTAGAACAGAAGATCAAGCAATA